AGTCTCAATGGGCAGGGTTGGGAGGAGAAGAGAATACGGCTACTCTGGTGAAGCTGTCACATCCCAGATGGCCAGCTCTGCCTGGTCCATTGGTCCCCAAACCCACAGCTCCCCTTGCTTACCTCCCTCCTTGTGAATAGGCTTACTTCCATGCTAAACCAGGAGCCCAAACTTCAGATCCGGGCCAAACTCCTGAGCATGTCCTTGCCCCTCATCCTAGTGCAAACTCAGTGTGGTTGTGCTCCACCCCAGGTCATCTAGTGGGGAAGCAGCAGAGGCCCCTCTCTCCCCCATCTCATGCCTTCAGCTAGCAGATGCCCCAAAGACCCCATCATCATCTCTGACATCTCCCAGACACTCACATGACCTGCTTTTCCTGCAGATTAATAGGTGGCATGGCCCGGAGACCAGGCTTGTTTGTTGAAGTACCATCACCTGAGCAGAGGGGGTCTGGGACCAGGAGCCCGTTGAGGTCCCCATTGTAGGCATTAGATGGCCGCTGGCTCTCTGCACTGGGGCCTGGGGACAGAAAGGGCCACAGTGATGAGGTTGTTCTGCCTGCCCACTGGCCTGTCCTCCTGCAGAGCTTCATTCAAGAACCATGGGGTGCTCTAGGAACATTCAACTGAGCGCAGTATGTCAGTGGGGAGGAGGGCCCTTTGTTCATCTCTCCAGAAACACTAATGGTGAACCCAGTATATGCCAAGACCAAAGATGAACACAAGGCTCTTCTACCTGGGGGAGGGAGACAAGCCATCAAGGATCCTCTGAGACCAATTAATACTCAGGCTCAGGTCAGTACAGAGGAACCCTGTTTACTTGAGGGAGAGAATGGGAAGAATTAGGACAGATTTCTTAGAGGAGGCACCATCACAGCCAGTGTGGCCAGAATACATAAACATGGGAAGGATGGAGGGAAAACAAGGCTGTAGAGGTTTTAGGCATGGGGCTCAGGTGCTAAGATTCTCCCTGTGGCAATGAGAGCCACAAAAGAATTCTAAATGAGAAGGTGATAGGGACTGCTCTGCCCAGAGGATTGACTGCTCTAAGGCAGCATGTAGGATAGTTGAGAATCTAGGTGAGAGATACCGGGGCCTAGACCAAGGGAGTGGCAGGGGTTGGAGAAGAGAGAATGGGCTCCTAAGGAATGGAAGGACACTGGTAAGATGTGGGAGTAAGAAAGGAAGGAGCCTGCCCCACACAGAAATGGCTCAGAAGAAGCCACCTTGGGCAGGAAAACTCAGGAGAAATGGACATGAAGGAGCTGGATAAAGAGGAGAGAAATAAAGAGGAGGAGTTGGGGTAGGGTGCAGAGCCAGGAAAGACAGTACTTTAGTTGTTTGCCATTGACTGAGTTTCAAGCATCCTTAGAGGCTCAGACACCACTCCAAAACTCCCAGGTGGCAAGGAGACTAGGGGTCCACATTCAGGAACATAGCAAGTTTCGAGTCACATAACTGCTGAGGTCTGACATGGTCCTCCAGTGACAGGAGACAAGCAAGAGCTACTTGGCAAACAGGGGAATCAAGTGCCAATCAATAAACAAGGAGTTAAGAGGAAAGCCTCCAGGCCACTTCACTTGGACCAGAGCCACCTTAGCTGCTCAGGGGTAAGCTGACCACTCTCCCTCCCAGGCAGGCTACCATGAGGACAAACAAACAAGCTGCACAAGGTTGGCCATGCCAGGTTCTACCAAACCTTTGTGGAGTCTAGTCTGCAGAGCAGCTGATGACCATAAGAGGCCCAAGCCAAGCTCATGAGAAAAGGGAGCACACACTCAAGGCCTGGGGCAAAGGACTCAGTAGTTTCAGGCAGCAGATGGATTTTCTCAGGGAGCAGGGAGTAGCAACCAACCCAGAGTGAACACCAGTGCCTGCTTCCAAAAGCAGCCAGTTTGGGTCTCCCAGCAGGTTTAAGAGCAGGGTCTGAATTAAGACCAATTATCAGCTCTGGCCACTGCACACCCACACCACCATCACCAGCCAGTCTTTCAACCACTACAACTTTTCAATGGTCCCTGAACCTGCCAGGAAACTTTGGTACCTTCACATGTGCTATTTCCTCTTTGTAGAATGCCTTTCCTGACACCCAAACCTCTATTCATATTACAAGACCTAGTCTAAACATTGTCTCCTTTCTCTTGAATCTGTTCTCAGGCACTCCCCAGCCCCCTCCCCACCGACCCTAATCCCATCACAATATCAAAACACTCCTCTCTTTCAATGACAACAGCATTATATTACAACCTTGTAATATAATGGATGTCCTGGGGGCTCTTCGAGGGAACAGCTCTGAGGTATTAGTGCATGCCCAAGTAAAGTTTAAATGGAATGGAAATAAACTAGGGTTTGAGACGTTTGTAGCTTAATCCAATCAGAGCTGTGCAGCCTGTGATTTGCCTTAAACCCAGAAAGATTATGGAATTGGGGCTGGTCACACTCCTCCTGAAAATCAGTTTCAGAACAGCAGGCCTGGAGTCTGTATTCCAGAAGGAAGGACAAGTTGCAAAGGGGTATCGGTGGTTCCTCAGCACAGTGCCTGGGTCTAGACCCAGAACTTGGCATACAGAGCCCAGACCAGGCCTCTGAACTATATGGCAAAAGGGTAGGGAACCCTGGCCAGTCCTAGGAACACTAGAGACATTGGGGCCAGGACACCAGGGGCGCCCTGCAGAGTCAGAGAAGGGGCCTCACCTTCAGCTGAGACGCTGAAGGACGAGGCAGAACAGCCCAGCTCCGGGATGGGGAGGGATCGCACCTGGGGGTCTACGCCCTTCGGTGAGCACACAGGGAATTACCCCTTCCACCTTCGTCTGCCCTCACCAGCCAGGAGGATGCAGAGCCGGTCCTGAGGGACCTGCGGGCCCCGAGGACTGCCCAGGCCCGCGCCGCCCTACTGCCCGCTCGCTGAGGACCCACCCTCACTGTCCCGGCTCACCCCCAGCGGGTCGGTCCAGCTTGAGGATGTCCCGCAGGTGCTGCGTGGCGTCCTCGATGTCGATGCTCGCGCAGGAGGAGGCCATGGGCCCAGCCGCGGGGACCCCGTCAGCGCCGCGTTAGTTTCCCTGTCGTCGCGCACCGTCCAGCCTCACACAGCCCCGCCGGGGCCAGACAGCCGGGCGCCGGTCACTACACTCGGTCCACCCGCGGCCCGCAAACCGCCGCCCGCGCTGCGTCCCTGAGCCCCGCCAACCCCACCAACCGCCTCCACTTCCGGCCCGTCCGAGCTCGGCTCCCGGAACCTGCGCCCGGCGAAGAAGAAAGGTTCCGGTCTGGAGGCGGACGCCTCGCCTCTCCTGGAGCCGGTCCTCCTCGGCCGGCCAGCCCCTGTGCCAACCGGGTCCGAGGGAGTTCCGCGGGGTTGAGTTAGAGCAAATGTCCACACACTGGGCCGCCCAAAGCCCTACCCGCCTCAGGATATCCTGTCCGGTACATGTCCACTCCCAAAGCATGGACTTATAATGGGCCTAGGACAGGGTCAACTCAGCCACCCAGGCTGCAGTCCCTCAGAGCCCCCAGGAACAAGGAGAATTGGCAGAAGCTTCGGTTTCCCCTTTGGGAAATGGGTCGGTATAACCCAAGACCTGAGGGAACTGGCAAAGTCATAAGGCCCAGAAATTGCAAGGGTAGGAGAGATGGTCCCGCTACAAACAACACATTGTCCCCCAGCATCCCGTTGCATCAGCCTGGCACCCTCAGGCAGGAAGAAAGAAACCAGATTACAAACACCTCTTTATTGCAGACATTTCAGGCACAGGTACATGGAAGAAGCTGTATTGCAGATTTTATACAGGGTGGTTTAAGAGGCAGCAGGCATCTGCCTCTCTCCCCTACCCCTACCCCCCAAATACACAGCAGCCCAGAAATCAGTTCCATTGAAATCTCCTGAGTATGCTGTCCTCAAACAGCACATCATCCAGCCCTGTGCCCAGCGTAGCCAGGCAACTGGTGGGGGTCCGAAGTCCTCAGCCTCCTTCATAGAGCAGGAGGGAAGGCAGGGGTACAGGTCAGGCATAGCTGTGGTGCCCTCACCAATCCTAAAACCCCTAACAGGGCACCAGCCCAAGTCCTGGGTTTGGTTCTAGCCTGCAGTTGCTACCTTGCCACCAGGTTTACACCACCAGACTTCTCAGGGCCAAAGGGCTAGATTTGCACTGGGCAAGGCCTCTGTCTCTGAAACTGAGTAGAAACTGCCCCAATAGCTAAGACTTCCTGGGATTTGAAGACAGTGTGAAGGTGTGTCTGTGGTGAGGGAAGGAATAGAAGGCGGTGGCCTATAGATACCTTGCAGAGGTCTGAGGGGTAAGAAATCCTAGAGCATAAATCCCTCAGACTCAGACTCAGATTCCCTTCTTTCATAGCTTTAAGTCTATACTCCAACCGAACTGAGCCTAGCTCTGTGGGCATTGGAGGCTGGCTGTTCTGGGCACTCGCCTTTGGGCAATGATTTCTGAAGCAGGTAGTACAGGATCTGAGCTGCCCTCTGCTTGGCTTGGGGTTTGTGGGGCACCCTGGATGTGATCCTGACCCTTCTGGGAATAGAAGAGGCCCCTCTCCCTCAAACTTCTGCTCATACTTGGTCTTGCTGAGCCCTTAGTCCAGAGGGCCTGAACCTGATAGGCCATTTTTGCCAAGGCTTCTCCGTCTTCAACAGGATTCTGGGTCATCTCTCCTGTTACTAGAGCCCTGACTTGACTCAGTGTAGAGGTCACAGGAGGTGTTAGAACTGACTGCAGAGGCTTCAGTGTGAGGGAAGCTTCAGGCCAGACCTGAGCTTTCCCTGTCTGCAGCTCACTTTCCTAAGACCAGGTGGGCTGAGGAGGGGAACACTATGCCCCACAGGGCTTCTGAGAAGAGCTAGCTGGGGGTGCTGCTTCAGCAGTTCTCTCCTTGCAACCGGTATTGCTGAGTTGGGGTAGAGGTGGGAGGGTGAGACATGAGAGAGCTAATGGGGCAGGGTAATTATTGATGCCCAGCCAACTATTAAACTAATTAAAACAATTTAAACTGTTAAGAAAATTTTCGTGGTTTTATTGTATCATGAGGCATTGAAACATCTGAACAAATCAATTATCTGGGCGGTGAGGCAGCTGCTTTCTCCTTCACTTCTTTGGGTTACTAGAGCAACTTGTCAGTAGATTAAAAAAAAAAAGAGAGAGACAACCTTTTGCATTACTTAAGTCTTTCCAAGGCATGCGCTGGTACAACACAAACTTCTCCTGTCAGATGCAACTAGTCTAGCTTCCAAACATCATGCACAACACCTCAGTAGCAGCAGCGCACTGCGCCCACTCCCACCGGGTCCTGCTCATTTGTGTATGATATTTGGAGCATCTGGAGGAGTGTGAATAGTACTGGGAAGAGGAGGGAGGAGCAAACAGCATGAGTGCCTGGCTGGGAGGAGGTCAGCCGAAGTTGTGCAGGGCAAGCCTGAACATGTCATTGGTGCAAACCCAAGCATCGTTGATGTTCTTTAATAGGAACATCTGGTGGAACCCCATGATGGGGTCTTCGTCAGCCTGTGAGGAGAGAGAAAATGATTCAGTAAGGGAGCCAAGGAACAGCAAGGGAGTTCAGCAGTACGGGGACAGGGCAAAGAATGCTGAGTTTGGGACCAGGCCCTACTGTCTTTGACTCAAATCCCAGTATAGCCAAGGGGTACTTGTGAATGTGAATTGATATAATGTATGCAGCACTGCACTGGGCACTTAAGGGCCTACAGATGGTAGCTCACACCGCTATGTGCACTTAAACTGCAGAACAATTCATCAGTTAGCTACAGCAACAGAGCAGAGAACATACCTGCATCTGAGCCCACATCTCTGGGCACAAGTGATCAATCTGAAAGAGTTCTACAGTGCTCACCATGTAACTTATGGTATATAAACACTAAACAATCTTAGTGTCTGATCATGCCACTTAGTCCAATCAGGAGAAGCTACTGCTAAAACTGATTGTGGTTAAGCATGTAAGAAAAGGCTCAAAGCTGAGTTCACACTGTGATCATGGCTCTACAGGGGGAAAAAAAACACAAAGTATCGCCATTGGGTGATCTGTCTCCTGTCATGTAATATATAATGTTTACAATGAAAAAAGAAAGACAAGAGACCTCCAGCCAAACTACAGAACACCAGGATGAGGCCTGGTTGAGGTAGGAGCTCATGTAACCAGCTCGGTATCTAACATCACTGGTTTTTCTGGGAATTATCATCAGCAAGGAGGCAAATCAGTCTTTTGGGGGCTCTGAGTTGAACAGAAACACCAGAAAAAACCTGAAGCCAGATGGGAAGGGACACTGCTTATTGACCCCAGCCTGGGAAAGTGGGCACTGAGTCCCTTGGGGAGACCTCCTCACTGCCAAGGGCCTGTTTGAGGATAGGCTCTGGGCACGGTATCTTGGACAGGAGAAACAGACAGGAAAGTCCAGACCAGAAGGCAGAACCCTCTAGGTCCACTGCAGAGGCCTAGGGTGTCCCTTCCTCCACCTTTGTATTGGATTCAGAAAGCCCTGCCTAGCCTGGGGAGAGGCATGTGGGCCTGTTATTCTGAGCCCCACAACAGAGGCCCAGGAGGTTGGAACCTGGTCAACGGGCAGCCAATCTGTCCTGCATTGGGAAGGAGAAGGAACTTTTGGGAAACCAAGAATCTGGCTTCAGTCTGCTGGAGCACAACAAGCAGGAATTCCTGGAGAGTTCTTGGGGGCTGAGGGGCTGCAGGAAGGCTTTGAGGATGATAGGTCTTGAGGAAGGGAAGGGAAAATGCCAAGAGAAGCAGAAGTTGCAGGAATCTGCCTCGTTCAGCAGGTAGAGGAGCCAGCAGCCAGCTTGGGGAGTGGCAGCATGGACTCCAGTTGGGGACTGCTACTCAGCACCCAGCTGGCTTGTCCAGGGTCAGCTGCCAGCAGAAGGCCCACCTATACCTCGGGGCAATGTCAAGGCCCAGTGGCTTGGCACCACAGCCCCATCCTGCTCCTATACCTCTTGTCCTTTTTCCAAAAAGGCTCCAGACCAGTGCTTTCCAATAGAACTTTCTGCAATAACAGAAATGTTCTATGTCTGTGCTGTCCAATAGACAGCCACAAGTAACTACAAGCACTTGAAATATGGCTAGTATGACCAAGGAACTATATTTTAATTTTATTTCATTTTAATTAATATAATTCAAAAATCACAGGTGGCTGGTAGCTATCGTATTGAACTATACAGCTCTAGATAGTCACTTTGTCTGGGTGCCCTTTGATAAGCAGATCACATCCCAGGGAAGGCAGGGGTGCAGGGCTCTCCTCTGCCCGCCCATACCTCCCTAGCAGCACTATTACCTTGAGCTGGCCCACAACCATGCTGATGATGCAACTATCTGGCGTGGGCTGATGGTCCTGCGCCGTGATGCTGTGCTGGATTTTCTGGAACGGAAGGCTCTGCAAGAGAAAGAGTGGGCAGTGGGCTGTGACCAGCAGGATGGGGAAGGAGCTGCCTGCAGCCCGGCCCTGGCTCTTACTTACAGACAACTTCTCCACAATGGCAGCTTTCCCCTGGAATTGCTGTCCTTCCCACGTAAGGCATGATGCGTCAATCTGAAAACCAGGAAACCCGGGGTCAGGCCTTAGAGCACAAGGAGTATCTCTGAGGCCCTGAAAAGGGTCTTGCTTGGGGAAATGAGTATACACTGCAGTTTCCCTATCTGTAAGGAGAACTGAGGGTAGCTTCCAAACTTTACACTATTAACAACTTCTTTAATTACACCCCATCATCCCAGAGCCCAGGCTCTGAAAGACTATCTAACAAAATACAAACTTATTAAGTAAGTTCATTTCCCAGTTTTTATTCACAAAGTCATAAGGCCTCTGATGTGCATGAGCTCCAGGCTGGACATATGTGGCCAGGGCTCAGCTAAAGCCATCCTGCTACATGGTCAGTTAGCACCAGTCCCAGAAACGCCATCAGAAATAACTTGTGGGCTGGCCCCATGGCTGAGTAGTTAAGTTGACGTGCTCTGCTTTAGTGGCCCAGGGTTTCGCCGGTTCGGATCCTGGGCGTGGACATGGTACTGCTCATGAGGTCATGTTGAGGCGGCATCCCACATGCCACAACTAGAAGGACCCACAGCTAAAATATACAACTATGTACTGGGGGGATTTGGGGAGAAAAAGCAATTAAAAAAAAAAAAAGAACAACTTGGAAACATTCTATGTTCATCATCATCTCTAGAGCCCAGGCTGAGTTCCACTGATGCCCTTCCTGTGGGGGCTCCCATGGGGTCATGGAGGGCTAGAGGCTCACAAGGCTTCCCAAAGCCTAGCCTGTGACCTTCCCCATCATCGGCAAGCAACCCACTAGCTTCACCCTCTCCTCTCTAGATCTTCCCAGCCATAGCCTTCAGGGGCAGAACTCAAAAGTGCCTCTGCTACTTACCAGCTGTGACATTAGGCAAGTTACTTATTTTTCTGAGTCTCAGTTTCCTGATCTTCAAAGGGGATATGCTTAGGATTATATGCAATGACATATATAAAGTGCTTTTTTAGGTTCTTGCTAACTCTCTTCTCTGGGTCAGGCCTGCTTTGATTTTTTTTTTTTGGCTGAGGAAGATTTGCCCTGAGCTAACATCTGTGCCAATCTTCCTCTATTTTGCTGGTGGGTCACCGCCACAGCATGGCCACCAATCAGTCATGTAGGTCTGCACCCGGGAACTGAACCTGGGCCACCAAAGTGGAGCAACGCTGAACTTAACCACTAGGCCATGGGACCAGCTCCTTTAATTGATTTTAAGAGGCAATAATACAGAAGTGCCAGGATCCCGGATCATTTCAAATTGTTAAAATTTTCTATCTATGCTAATGACAATCAAATAATACCTGGGCTGGATTTGGCCTTCCACTGGTAAGAACCTTATCTTTCCTCCAAAATTTCTGAATGGACCCTGATTTTTTGGAGGAAGACACAGAGGAGTTTGCCCACAGCCCAGTCAGGCTCTGAGGCTATGCTGGATGACTCCTATCATTCTCATCTTGGGCAGACCTGCTAGGTGTGGCCTGATCAATCACATTTCTGTGACTGAGTCTTGGGCAGGGTCAAACAGGAGCAGCTCTTGGTGTATACGAACTCCAGTAAAATAGCAGCAAACAATGCCTGCACAGAAGTGTTTCTCAAAGGATACACCAGCCTCCCTGGGTTAACCTTATTTGTTTCCCATGAACATTCAGGGGCTTTTGGCTCCCAAAAGGATGCCAGGCTTGGGGCCTCCAAGAGAACTCAGCTCTACACTGATGATGATGATGGCTGCTGCCTCCAGAGGGCACCATGAGTCCTAGCCTCTGCCTGCTGCTGCCCAGTCTGGAACAGAGGCACTCCCAGAACCCTGGAATGGCCAGCCTAAAACACCCTGCCCAGGGTACCAAGATCCCCACTCTTGTGGAAGATAACAGAAGAAAATGTACAGACCAGGCAGTTGGGCCAGGCCTCAGGCCCCCTGTCCCATGAAGAGAAGCTCAGATAGAAGGGTATAGCCAAATCCAGGTGAGGGCTGTCAGAAGTTTTGAACTGGACTCACTGGCCCAACATCTGAATTGATCGCCTTGGGTCCCATTCTAGGCTTAGAGCTGGAGACTTACATAAATTGCGCCTAGTTGAGTTCTGTCGTTATCAAATAATTGATAGTAATGTTGAATGAAGCTGGATCCAATCTGCTCCCAAATTGGCTTGTCTCCCATTCTGGAGCGTCACTCGGCCTCCTTGAGACCTGCAAGACCAGCGAGACAGGGAGGAAAGCGTTGGTACTACAAGAGCAGGAGGCAGCCAGCTGCTGTCTCTCACTGACCCTCAACCCTCTGTAACATCCTTGATTAGTGAGTTCTTTGCTGAGGTCTATTCTCCCAGGGAACATGGAGAGGCCCTGGGGAACTGGTAGGAGACCCCTGCCAATACAGACCAGTACAGGGAGCCCAGAGGTGGACCAAACTCAACCCTTCCTTTGAGGAGCTCTGCTTGATGAGACAGAGGGGTGCCAGGGTGGTGGAGCACACAGGATCAGTGCTAAGGGTGGAACCAGGACAAAGGAAGATTAGAGCAGGCCCTTCAGTGCCCAGTGAAGGGATGGGCCTTTAAAGAACAGCTAAGCACTTTCCCCATATCTTTTCATTTAATCCCCTCAACAACCTGCAAGGCCCGAATTATTGCTATTCTTCCCACCTTGTAGACCAGGAAGTACTGATATCTGTGTGTGGAGTGTCTTCTATTGTAGCCCTCAGCTCCCCCAACCCACGCCATCCTATGGGACTCAGCACTCAGTCCCTCAGCACTGCTCCGGGGCTTCACTGGTGGGTGGAGGAAGACCCAGTAGGGGCAGGGGCAGAGCGGGGGGATGGCTCCTCAAGGCCCCACTTGCAACAAAACAAGTCTTAGTCTTAAGGGGGGCAGTTTACTTCTTTGAGGCCAGGTGATACCTGGCCTGGTCCTTTCTGAGGAATTTCTTCATTGATGGGGGTGACCCCTTCAGAGTTGGGGACATGAGTTCAGAGGATCACAGAATAATAGTGGGGAGGGAAAATGGAGGCTGTAAGGGGGAAACATGTCATCTCTTCAAATCCCCCATCCCAGCACTGTCCCCATCAGAAGGGGCTGCTTCTCTCTGGTCTCTGAAGCGGGGAGGGGAGTTCCCCTCCCAGCTAGAGAGGCCATGTCCCAAGGGTGCTTGATGGAAAACCCAAGCCCCAGATGAGAGAGCAACTCCAGCTTTGCTAGGCCCCTCCCAGATAGGGAAGCCCACATCCTACCACAGAATCCCATGATAGCAGACCCATGTGTTGTTCTACTGTTGTCTCTGACTATAGAAGATCTCCCTCTCTCCTGATAACAGGGCTGAACCAAAGCAGTGAGAAGGTGGGTTTGGTAGACAACTATTAGTAGTGATGGATCTGATACAAGTCACTGGCTTTCTTAGGGCCTCAGCCTTCTCCTCTGTAAAATGGGGGTGCATCCCGATGTTGCCAGTGGTTGTGAAGCCTCACTAAGGGAACCTGGTAAAGCCCTCAGCTCAACATAGTTAAGTGCTAATTTGCTCCAGTCCCTGTGATCTCACCCAAGGCCAGAGGGGCCAGTGGGCAGGGAAAGTGTAGGGGGGCCAGTGGCTTATCCCCAATCCAACCAATCTCCCAGCCTGTGACCAACACTCCAGCCAATGAGGGGCCAGGAAGCTGAGCCAGCTTTATTTTAGGTCCCATAGGAGGGAGTGGCACTAAAAATAGCTCAGTGCTGGGAGGACTAAGAAACGTTCAGGAAAGTCTAAAACAAGCAGAGGAGAAAGCTTGGACCCGGCCACGCCGGCTACACAGGAACACAAGGTGTGTCCTAGTTCACATACACTCTGCCAAGAAACAAATGAACAAGTGGGAAAAGCATAGGATCAACTGCTAGTCTCAGCTGCTCTGTCTTGGTCACATTTCCAAGGGGTCAGACTGTGGCTGTGCCCACACACAAACGTGGATTACCGGAGGCAGGGCACAGCCTGGTATCTCCCATCTCTGTCCCTTCCACTCTAGTATTTCCTCTGCTTGGCTCACTCACTGGGGCCTGACCCCACTGCATCTTACCCTCCCCCATAATGTCTTGCCTAGCCCCTGAGAGCTCTGGGGTAGGGGAAAAGCTGGAGGAATGGATGAAGGCCATTTCTCCTGCCCTTGGAAAGGCTGAGAGCCCTCAGGGAGAGTCTTGGAGAAAGAGTATGCCAATGAGAAGAAACAGCGTAGGCAAATGTCCGCGGGAACGAAAAGAAATAAGGGCAGGAAACTGGGGAGCTGGAGATGGAGGGTGAGGGGAACTAAGGCTCCAAGCTGATCCAAAGACAAGAAAAGTGCCGTCATGTGGTGGGGCAGTAAGGTAGCGGACGTGTGGGGGCGTTTTTTCCTTTTTCAACATTGTTCTTAATGGTGTGTTAACTTGCTAACACAGAAACTACTTGGCAGAGGTAGTGGTGAAGTGAAGAGGGTGGAGGGATAAAAGGACAGAAGAGTCCTTTGGTCCAGTGGGGTGTGTGTCAGGGCAGAGTGATCTCGCCTGAGGAACAGGACAGCCCATGGTCTCCTAGAAAGTGTGAGAAGGAACCTTCAAAACTATGAGAATTGAGGCCTTTGCTTTAAAGATGCCAAGTGGGATCCCTGAAGCCAATACCAACCTCATTTGAGGCCTGCTTGACCCTTATGTATTTATTTCCATGTGGTGATCACAATAGCGAAGTGGTCAGATTCCACTGTTATCCCACTTAACAGCTGGGAAAACTGAGGTTAAGCAACGTGGGGAGTCTTGCCCCCAGCTGATCCAGTATATCAGTGCTGACACTGGGTACTCTGGTTGAGGCCCATGCTTGCTTTCTGCTACCTTTGCATCCCTGAGCTCTAAACCACCAAGTCCCTCCCCTATAACACCTCGCCTTTGGGTTAAAGGCCAAACCCCCTAAGCTCCACAGGTGGCCATCCATACCTGTCCCAGCCTCCCCAGCCATTCTCTCCTACTTTGATCCAGCTCCACACACAAACACACCAGAACTCACTTAGTGCTTGCTCGCTGTGTTTTTTGCACAGATGTCCCCCTGCAGAGATGCCCTCCCTCCGCACATCTGCCTGGTCAGTCCCTGCTCTTCCTTCAAATTACTGTTCAGACCCCACCTATTTAGGGACTCCTTCCCAGACTCAAATGTTGATCCCCAACCCCAGGTGCAAACCCCTATCAACACACCCAGTGCCCACTCTCCCCCTAAACACTGTAGCTCTGGGCTGTGAGGGTTCTAGTGTGGTTCTTGCCACCCCCTAAATTCCTCCTTTCCTCATCTCCCAGCACAGAACTTGGCCCAGCAAACCACAGGATTCATGGTTTCTGATTCCAAATCTTTCACAAAGCTTTTAACTGATGGCTGGAAGGCAGCATTCCTGAGTCCAGAAAAAGAAGCAGGGTGCAGAACCCCCCTCCCATCTCCATGTAATACAGGGGAGGAGTCTGGACCAGGCTGGGAGGATGTTCCCCAGCATGGCCAGCAAGCCCTGACCTTGTTTCTAATACAGTTACTATGGAAAGAACAGCCTGGAAAGAAACAAAATGCCAAGGCTCAGAGGCAGCCTCACATCAGAATGGGGACTGACCTTCATGACGGCTTCTCCTACAGCTCTTCCACGTCATCTCCTGCTTCACCCCAACAGTCCGCAGGCTGACTGAGGCCAGGCTCCTCGAGGAGCAGAAATGACCTCGATGACCTCTCGCCCACTGAGCATCAGCCTTCACTGACCCTTAGGTCTCTGTGGGTGCAAAGACCCCCTGAGAATGTCTCAAAAACTGTGACCCTCTCCCAATAAATTTGTAAAGAGGCAGAGATGCCCCAGCCTTGTGAATAATTTCAGCTTGTTCACACTCCCTGAGGTTCAGTCATAGAGCCCAGGTTAAAACCTCTGGTCCAGGAGATCCCATTAGGCAACAAAATAATTTCATTTTTATACTCAAATTCTGAGTCAGTGTTTCCAGGAACAAAACTTGAAATAGCAGTGTCCAGCTGACAACATCTCATTTTCACTAACGTGTTAGGTGTAGAAATGTGCTAAGGGCTTCACATGCATTTGTTCCTAACATCCTTTTAGGAATGAGCAAAATGAGGATCAGCGATGTTAGCTAACTTGCTCAAGGTTGCTAACCTAATAGATGGTGCAACTGCATGGAACCAGGGTTGGTGGACTCCAGAGCCAGGACTCTCAGCGATAATTCATTTGGAGATAAAAATGAACAGCACATACGGCTGAAGTCCCAATCTCTGACCTTGGCTTTCTCAGACATGGGCAAGACAGGCCTGAACCAGGGCTTCTGCCTCCAAACAAAGGCGCCAAGCAGATTTCCACACCAAACAATAGGCGTTTTCACAGGGGATGATCTCACACTTTCCCAAAACCTCCTAAGTTACAACCCCATTCTACCATCTCAGCAAAGCAGAGATAGATCCTGGCCTAGCTGGACCTGGGGCAAGGACTAGGGCAGGAGAGTGATGGGGAAGAGGATGTTACTAACTTCAGACCGATACACAGAAAGATGCTCAGATGTTTGAGAGGCATCACTGAGGCCTACAGAGGATGCCAGCAGATGTGCTGAGCTTGTAGCGGGGTCATTGAAATTGGCACCAACCGTGGCCACTACCCTCACACCTACTGTCTGCCAGGCCTCAAACAGCCCTGGAGTATAGAGGCCGGGAAGGACTCCTCCAACAGATGGGACTGACAGCCAAACCTGGCTTAAACAGAGCATAGGCGTGTACTGTGGGGAGTGGGTGAACGTGGTGGGATGCAACAACACAGGAAGACACTGCAGCCTGCTTGTCCTTCAGGAACAAACTGCTCCTCTGACTTCATGGTCTGAGGGGTGCTGTGTATCCTGTCCTATGGCCCTCCGATGACTTCCCTTCCCATTCTCCATTGACAAAGTCTCAACCACTTATCCTGACTTCAAGGCCCAGGGTGACCTGCCCTCCTGGCTGTCCAACCTCAACTCCTGCCACCCACTCCCCCAAATTCCTCTGCAGCCACTCTGGGCATTTTCCTGTTTCTGGAACATGCTGAGTCTATTCTCACCTAAGGGCTTTGCAACTGTTGATCCTTCTACCTGGATCACCCTTCTCCCTAGATCTTCATGTGTCTGGCTCCTTGTCACCTATGTGTCAGCTCAAATGTCACCTTCTCCTAGACACCTTCCCTGACCATTCAGTCTCAAGTA